GAGAGAGAGAGAGAGAGAGAGAGAGAGAGAGAAGCAAGAGAATTTTTAACCACGACTATCCGGTTAATATGCCCGTGGATTATTGCGTGTCCACGGTGAAACGGGATGACTCGGTCGCTCGTTTTTCCTGCGGAAACTTTATTGGCATTTTCGACTTCTCTTTTGCGTTTCTTCTCTTTTTTTAGTCTGTTTATTTTTGTTTCGCGTACGTACGTGTATGCGTGCATGTGCGTGTTTCTTTTTTTCTCTCTTTTTTTCCCCCGTTGGTCGGAGAGCTCATTGATTCCGTTCCGTCGAAGAAGCAGACATTGTGGCGAGTCGCATTGTCAGCGACACTTGATAATTGAATCGAGGACAAAGACCTTCTGTGACTTTATTTGAGGAACTGTGTGCAGGACAGGGATGTACCGAGGGGGGTGTTCCGAAGGGAAATGCGAAAGCTGTCGGTAACTTTTCGCGGTTTTATTTTCGAGTTCGCTTGGGTTTGAAAGTGTCTGAAATTAGCTTGTGTTGCTATTTTAAGCGAGAACGGGAATAGGCGATGATGGAATGAGAATCGCGTGAAATGGTTGTATAATTAATACGCGCGGAACGCGATCGTCAGAGAAAATTACTTGCCTTCATATTTTAGAATTTTAAGGTATACAACATTTGGACATTTTTAAAATATTTTTTTAAATATTTTTACGAAACGAAATTAGTTGTGTATTGTTTATTAACAAAATAGTCGTATTCAACTTAAATAGAGATTAGATGTACATGCATTGATAGGATGATTACTCATCAAAAAATTAATTTAAAAAATTGATATTAATAATTTTATCTGGGCGATACTTTTAAAAATGTTGTTTCCATTTTTCAACATTCCTTTGTAAAGGTAAAATGCTAGTTAAATCTTTTTCTATTTTTTTGAATCCAAGTTTCACTCGTTCTTCTGTATGAAACTTTAAACACTTTAGTGACATAATATAATTCTATTTGTTACAAACTATAAATTAAAAATTAAACAAATTCAACATAGTAGTTCTCCGATATAGAAACCTGTACTAACTTTTTTTTAGATCGGTCTACATAAATTGTTTTCTCAGTATTCTCTATACATGTTCTTCTTATTTATATATAAAGATAATTTAAAGAATTCTGCAAATCTCTTTTTGCAACGAAAATATAGAGCTTCATTCGTAAATATAAGAAAAAAAGAACGGAATAAAAGTACAGTAAACGTTCAAAAATCATAAAACGCGAGAGAAGAAAACTGTTATCAAAAACAGATGAACAATCAAAAAAAAAAAAAGAATATCATGCCACGCTGACGTTGACCTGTACAAAACTCTATGGATCGATGCAGTACCCAGATATAGTTGATAATAGTTGAAAACATCCCTTCGTAAATATTAAATTGGTCCTTTGAAAAAGATACACCTTATTCTTATATATATAAAACACTTTTTTGAATCTTTCGTCCCTTTTTTTTTATTAATATCATTCGTCAAAAGCAAAAACTTTGTTATGAAACGAGTTTTTTCATTACGAGTTTAAAAGCATCCTCTATTCATGTGACGATACTCTCCTTACCATAATAAGCCGAGTAATTAAGCTACATATCATTTTTCTTAGTCGTTTAATGCCTGTTTAACGAAGTAATGATTTAATAATAAAAATTACAACTCGATACAAATATGGCACCATGTATATTAAAAATACCAAGATCATCATGGTATTCGATATTGAAAATTGAATTCTTGAAATATCGATAATTTTATAATACTTGATATTTCATAGAAGTGTGCTCTACAAAATATCTGGAATCGCAAGCAACTACTTCGCAACTAAAAAAAAAAAAAAAAAATGTGAACGTTTTAATTTAGATTTATTAGACTGCTGTTTTTGACAGATCCTGTTTGTTCGTGTAAATAATAAAAATTATTTTCATTGTATTTGTTCGTTAAATATAAGTTAAATAATAAGTTGAATGTAAAAGAGAATAAGTTTATAAAATCGAAGTCTTTAAGGAATGATATAGTGAAATTCTCATAATTCTATAATTCTATAAAGTCTTCTGTAATTATTCCTCTATAATCTATAATCTAACGAAATTCATGAAACGTTGAGTCATATAATAAAAAAAATATATATATATATATATATAAATTATAAATTGAAGATTTGTTAATATAAATTCGCATCAAAATCACATAGTGATTTTATAGAAATAAAATCCAGATAAAGATTTATTTCATCTTCTAAACATTATATCTTTCTTTCTTTGAATATTCTAGACATTTTCGTACATGTAAAAAATTTTCTATGAATATATACATTTAATTTGACGATTTTTTTTCTTTTAATAATACGTAGGCATAACAGGTATTCTTCTTTTTCCGCGCACTAATTGGACGAAAAATAAATACATAACATTTTGGATTTCGTGTATCGATTACACGTGCTATAAGAACCAGAATATGGCGAGCATCCCTGACGTCGAAGAGCGGGCATCGTATTTTGATACAAGTTTCTTTGGGAATATACAATTTCGAATATAATTGAAAGCGTGTCTCTGATTTCGATCCAATAAGCGTAATGTCTCAAATAAAACGCGTACGTGATTATTTTTATACGAAAATGCACGTATGGAGTACTGTAGTTAAAAATAAATAATTGCTATCAGAAATAATATTAATCCACGAACAATTACTTTTCACTTTAAAATGAATTCTTTGAGGCTAAATGGAGAATGAAGAATAATAAAAATGTTGTTAAATTTTATATATAATAAAAGATAATAAATCGATTATTTTACAGATGATAAAAATATTATTATTTTTATACTTGAACAATTATAATTAAACTTGATCAATGTTTTGAGAATGAAACAATAATAAAATTAAAATTACTTGTGACGTATTTGGAAGTCTTAAGAAATGGAGATATTCAGACAGAATACACACAAAATGACTATAAAACTTATTTATTGTATCTTACCAATTTGTATAAAATATTGATTCATTATTACAGGTCACACATTGGATACGTGTACAATCTATCGTACAGTTTGTCATTAACTATGTGTATTGTTTAAGACCCAAGAAAATCTACGTATATATGTATGTATTGCGTTGAAACTTTTAACTAAAATCGTTTACACATGTATGATTAATGCACTACAGCAGAAGTGTACAGCTCCTTTCGAACAAATTAAATAAAGTGCAGTTTCTACCAATAATTTAAATTTAACATTCATACAAATAAATAACTCATTATCACAAACGATATTTCCAATTAACAAATCGTGACGATTTAAAAACTGCAAATCACTATGTAAATTAGAATTCTTTGGATGCACATGTGGAGCAAAATTGTTTATTCCTAATCCTAAATTGAAGTAATCTTTCTCTACCTTTTTCTTCACATATTTTCTCTTAAAAAATTAACGTGCTTTTCGAAAACTAAATTCTAAAACTAATTGTTTAATCAATAAAAGTGAAAAAAGAATTTCATCTTCATCAAAGAACCTACTACTAATTGGAAAGGAGCAGACTCTTTAAACATTTACTTAAGATATTAACTTGTGAGATATACGAAAAAAATAGACTTATCGTGAACACATATTAATTTAACTCTAGCTGCAAGTTTTCAATAACAAAAAATTATTATCATCATTGTTGTATTTTTTTTTTTCTTTTCTTTGTAAAACAAAACAACATGGTTTTGAGAACATCATCTTCGAAAATGTATGATTATTTGTTCGAGGCACTCGTACATCTCACATCGATATTAACATGCACTTATAACGATTAGCATGTTATTATTATATCTAAAAGACATTATAAAAATGCTTATTTCTAATATTTAAAGCTTATCGTTTCTTACAATTGATAGTAAATGTTAGTGAATAATAATTATATTGTTCTTTAATTTCATAATTATATTGTTCAATAATATTGTTCTTTTTTTTTACATTTTTCTTTATTTACTTTTTCTATCACTGTTATAACGATATGACGAATATAAGTCTGTTTTATCTCATATGTACAAACTCAACTTGAAATTATATAACATCTCAACATAAAAATTTAATCAAAATTAATTGATAGTACTTGTACAATATTGATTGGAGATGAATTTAACAAATGAATGAAACGAATGAATTTATTTTTGTACGAGAGGAAATAACTGATTGACAATCACATAAGAATGATTGAATGGTTAAATGTAATAATTTTCTTGTTCATAGATCATATAATGTTGAAGTGTTATATAATATATATTCATAGACATCCTAAAAAATAATGCAGCATCTAATAACATAATTGACTCTTACTACAGTGGAGACATGGTTAATAATCTGAGATTTCATGAATTCTGTTGTATAAAATATTTTTAATATCAGTAATTAATTTTTCACTTTTTCAACTCTACGCAAAAGTTAGAAACAAGTTTGCCTTTTGGTCAATTCACATTTGAATCATTTCATGCAATTATTGTTCTTTTTTTTCCAATTATCAACACAAGCAATTGCAAAAGACTACTTATAAAATACATTTTTTATTTTTGTACACAAAAAAGATTACTTAAACGTATAATCTCTGAAGTAACAGTCTGTGTAAAATATTTTAATGTTTGAATTGACGTTTCTTTTAAATTAAAGCAAGTACATTTTTTTTAAACTTTGTTTTAGATTTGTTTTTGTCTTATTCTCTAACTAAAGCAAGTATTCATATCTGATCCTCGACTATGATATTTAAATAGATTAACAACAGTAAAATCATAGCAAATTGATTATTGGTATTTTTTTACAATTAATATTATATTTTAATATACATACGTAATATTTACATTATATCTTTTAAGGCTAATAGACATTATGTGTGTAGCATATTTAATGGATATACGTAAATTTTACTTTTCATTTCTCAGTTTACTTTAAGTGGAATTAGAATACTTTCCTTTGAACACATTTAAATAAAAAATGGTATAACCAGCACTTGAAATGAAAGATATTTCTTTAATCTATTAATGAAAGCGTAAATACTTTATTGTATTACATGTATATGTACATATAACTATCTTTTTCATTTCCAAAATTGAAGTTACAGATTGTCAATAAAAATTATATCATGACTGAAGCTATTGCATAATAGATAGGACAAACGTAAAAATTATAGAAAATGATATATCTACTACTTCAATGAAACTAATCATATATAACGAAAAAGAAAATATTACATAAGAATATATAATAAATCTAATAGACATATCTAATGATGACATTCAACATAATTTTAGCAAAAGCAAAAATTAAATACTTTCACGAAGTTACTAATAAATGCTGTACTATAACATAGTCCTACTGACAGATTTCTCCGTAAAATTTAATATGAAAAGAAAATACTATAATATATGTCAGTGTCGAGGATCATATTATTGTGAGCCAATCACAAATAATACTACAAATTAGTATTAATAATAAATATGATACACGAAAATTATGAAACGATCAGTAAATACAAACTCTTATTTTTTTGAGTTTTAGTTTTCTTGCTTTACCATAAATTTAGTATTCATGGATTCATAAAATGCTTGTAGAAGATCTTCCCGATTAAGCTTGGAACTAACTGCTTCAAAGATCTTCAATAAATCTTCCTTAGATTCACAAAATTTGTCAATACATTCGACTGCAAATTGGGAAGACCAAAGTTTACTGAAAATATTCTCCATGACAACAGGAGATTGAGATTCCAAAGCTTGCGCTATGTCACTTGGACTATTATTTTGTAAAGCTATGTCCAAAACAACACGCGGTGGTATTAATTCATCATTTGCCACTGTGTGGCTAATGATTACGTCCATTGGCATTCTTTTCAACATAGCATCCAAATTTAACAACTCTGTCATAGGCTTCCTTATTCCTTGTTGCTCTTCTTCTTTCAATTTCTTGGATAACATTTCAGCAAGTTCTGAAGACATACATTTTTCATAAACGGTATCCTTAACCTCATTGAAATCAAGCATATCCAAACATTCACTGGTCTTTATCTTTTTCCTGTACGCATTAAATACTTTTACGAAAAATTGTTTGTCGGCACTGAAAATGTCAGGAAGTCGAAGTAAAACTTTATTTACTCCACAAGCACGGCATGCCGCCTTCAATATTACTTCATTAGAATTTTTTCTATTTTCACCACCAAGCATTCTAATAGTTTCACTTTCCAATTCCTGCGATACATGTTTTATTTTGTTCTGCAAAAGCAAATAATTGTATATTTTCAGTTAAGTACTCTCTGATTAGTCACACAGAAATAAAGACAAAGTATTTACCTTATAATGCAAAAGAAGTTTTTCTGGGGTGCATCTTCTTACAGCACTTTCTAGTACTAAATTAACATCGATTTCATCAAGAAGCTCTTCCAAAGCCATTTGTGCTGCAACCGATTTTGTCGCTTTATTTGCTCCAGTTTTGAATAAATAAGTAGAATCACTACTAATTCCAGTGGTTGCATTTGTTGTTGCTTGCATTATTGGTGTTGTATTTCTAATAAAATCATTAGAATTTTCAGTAATATTTTCTGGTATAGAAGTGACAACCGTAGATGGTACATTTGCATTTTGTCTAAAAAAAAAAATGAAATTTTTGTCACATAATATACAAAATATAAATATATTAAATTATAAAATAAATTGAATACTACAAAGAGAAAAAGAATAAATATAATAAATTCATAGATAAAATAAAAAAACATACATAGATGTCACATTTGGCGCTTCTAATGCAATAATTTCTGTTGTCAATTCATTTAAAATGAATTCTGTTGGTTTTTTAAACATATTAAGTGCATTGGTTACAGCAACATTATCAAAAACTTTACTCGAACTTGGTTGGTTTAATAGTGTATTGTGAGTTGCTAATTTATCATGCTGATCTTGAGGCGTTGTTTTCGGTGTAGATGCAGGCACATTGGTATTTACGGGACATGATATTTCGTTGTTTAAAACATTATCTAAATCTTCTACTGCGTTATCCAATCTTTTTCCACTACACTTTTTTTCAAAGCATTTTAATATACTTTTTACAAATTCAACTTTTGAACTACCCTTTACAGGAATTCTGTTTACTTCACGCTCAGTTAATTGTGCGAGATCTCCTATAGTTTGAACATTTCTATTTTTAAAATACGTAAATAAATGTTGCACCCAAAGAGGATTAGTTAAATGATCAATGATAGATGATACAGATTCTTTACACGATATTAATGCAGGATATATAGGATGAATAGAATCAAGTAACTCTGGATGTGGAGTTTCTACGTTAAATTCGCTGGTATTTTGACTATCTTGACTCAAAGGTAGACTTCCAAATACTGAATCTGTAACTGGTAAAGTATCTTGTTCTTGAATATTTTCTTGTGTATTCTCGGTTGATTGTGTACTAGTTCTTATTAACTTTCCACAGAAAATTTCATCTGAATTTACTGAAGAATTAAACACAGTAAGATTTTCTGCATCTACGGTATCATCCAAATTTTCAGTATGTTTTTCTGATGAATGTTCTATTATAGAATTGTTCTGAGCATTGAATTTGAGCAGTTCTAATGAATTATTTATAACAGACGTGTTTTGTGTAACACTTGTATCAACATTTAAAGTTCTCTTCAAATCTGAAGGTTTCTCAATAGAATTATTATATCTTGTCTCTGCTCCAGTAAATATATCTTCCTGCGTCACTAAGTGATCAAATTTATTGCTTTGTAAACTAATATTACAATCTTTTGATACTTCGGAAAGTGCATTCTTTTTATTTTGATCTCTTTTAATTATACAATTTGGTTCTACATATTCGGAAAACGTTGAATCTTGAGTAATTTCAAATTCAACATTTAAGTTATTAATTTTAATATTATTAGATGTAGGAATCGTATTTGTTGATTTATCCTCTACAGTATTATACGATGTTTGCACATCAGTATCTATTGTGACATTCTCTGAATATTCTAATTCTTCAGCTATTTTTGTTAATAATTCATTTTCTCTTACACACTGTAAGTCAACTTCAGATGTACTTGCCACATCAATTTCTTCATCTTTCTCCAACTTATCTGAGTCTATTGATTTCTGTTTAATTTGTTTTAACTTTAATGGCGATTCCTTACGTACTGTTAATCCACGCGAAACAAATTTATTAATTTTATGAGGCGAATCAGTAGATGTAATCTCATATCCCATTTCCTTGGAAACTGGCGGGTCCGCAAAGCTTACTCTTTTTCTCTATAAAAAAAAAAATTATGTTGAATATTTAAATATAAAAAAATCTAAAGCTAGAAATATTATTTTATATATCAACATATAATTACAAAATATTATACTTTTTCAAATTGTCTGTCAACAAAACATGTCATCAAACATCTAAAAGAAATTACCTTACTAGGAGTTACAGACTCAGGATCAGGTTCTGGAATATATTGACGTTGACGTTTTAATATACTTGCACTTGGAGATGCAGTTAATGAAGGTGGATTTGCACTTGACCATTCTAAAATTGGCAATTCATCTGTTTCAAATAGAATTTCTTCATCTATTTTATCAGTTTGAGTCTCAGTGTGTACAGATGTGCAATCTACTGATTTATCTGCTCTTGAGAAAATTTTTTCTCCGTCATTTTTCAAATTAGAAAATAATTTTATTGGGGGAGAAGAACAGTAATCTGTTGACCTCATATTACTAAAAATTTTTTCTTGTCTACTACTACATGTTGCTGTTATTTTATCAACTTCTTTTAATGTAGATCCTTGTTCTTTTTTCCCAAGCAACGTATCATTATCTATATCTTTGGATTTCAATTTTTTAGTTATAGGTTCTTCATCTGAATTTGTTACATTACCTTCAGCTTCCATTCTTGCCTGTTTTGTTACTAATCCTAACATATGAGCTGCACGCCCTTGTGCTGTAAAGGTTTTAAATTTTGCTTGACGTTTAATACAACTTTTAGGCGATGATAAATCAAATAAGGATTTCAATGTTGATCCGTCGTTTATTTTTTGCTCTTCAAATGCAGTATCCTTTTCCTTATCAAATAAATTAATTTCAATAAATGGAGACGAAATCTTTGGTTCACTGATACTGACTTCATTGGTTTCTTCAAATTCCTTAACATTATCTTTAGGAACTTTAATATTGTCATTATCACAATCGTTTGAGACAATTTTAGCTACTTCTTCATCCTCAGCTATAGTTTCATAATATTTCGTTGAGGAGCAAATATCTTCAAGTTTATTAATTTTAATAAAATATTGTTTTTCATTACATTTTTTAAATAATTCTGATTCTTTCTGTGAACTTCCTACTATATCTTCTGTATCATCTTGAGTTTGGTTTTTTTCTTCCACAACAGATTTAACATCTTGATTTATACTTTCTACTTCGTTATTTGATTTGTTATTATTAACTGCTTCAACATTAATTTCAGTACAGTTTTGAATGTAATGTAAATCACAATTATCATCTGATACACTTTTTGAAGTAACTTCTGTTTGTATTTCTATTTCTTGAACCTTTTCTCCTACCTTTTTTTCATTTTCTAATTGACTCTTTTTATTCTGTAAAATAATACTTTTCAAGTCTTCAATTTTATTAATTTCAATTTTTACTTTTGGTAATTTATTTAATTTAAATAATATTTGAGAATCTTCTATTATATCTTCCATATCATTTTGTATCTGATTCTTATTTTCAGTTCTCATATGCTGAATATCATTAATTTCATTATCAGTAAATTTTTCTGTATCAAATAAATTGCATTTATTATCTGATATACTTCTTGAAGAATTTTCTATTCTTGCAATTTCTTCGACTTTCTTTTGTTCTTCTAATTCAGTTTTTTTATCCTTTCTTATATCTTCAACGTTTTCAACTTTAATTTTATCTGATTTTTTAGGTCTACCTCTTTGTTTCATTTCCTTCTTTGCTTTATTTTCTATTGGTTGCTTTTTGGTAATTTCTTTATCCTCAGAAATCTTGGATCGGCGGCTACGTGATAAAGGAATATGGTCAAATACCATATTTATACGTAATCGTGATATCTCATTCTTGGTACGTTGACTCAAATTTGTTTCATCAATTATAGGATTTAAATTCATTGTTGCATTGTCTTTTTCTGTAGATTTACAGCTTTCACTATCACTAATTGATAAAGTTTTCTTCCGTTGACGCATATTAATTGCCTCATTTTCGCTATCCGAAGTCGATTTACGTTTAATACCTTTTCTTTCTTCTTTGATTGGTTTATTTTCTACATTTTCCGAAGTTTTTTGTTTATCAAACATTTCAGATTTGCTTTGAGTTATTTTTGTTCTTAAAGTTTTTTGCAAAGTATTAATTGTATTTGACTGTCCTGGTTCATTGTTAATACTTTCTTCTGTTAAAAATTTATTTAATGATTTTGGAGAAGTAGACTTTATAGCAACATTAAAACGATTACGTCGTTTAATATTATCTAATATAGATGGGGATAATCTTTGTTCATCTCTATTTTCTTCTAATTTTTCTTGAGTATTGGCGTCTAACTCTCTTGATGTAAAATCTGTTAAAGATTTTGTTTCTGTATTGTCACAAACATTTTCTATTGTTGTCATTTGATTTTCTACGAGCGAATTTTCATTATTGTCAATATTATCTTTTACTTTTTGCATAGATTCTGATGGTATATTTTGTTCAACGCTATCTGATTTTGTATCATTGTCAACACTTGATTTACTAATTGCTTCTAACTCTTTCACTTCAATTTTATTTTCTTTATTTGCATCGTCGTCTAATACACTTTTTATCGAAATATTATCATTTTTATTATAACTTTTATCTGCTTCTTCTAAAATTTTACTTTTTTTATTAAACCATTCTTGCAAATTTTGAGTATCTTGTGATGAAGATTGCGACAAATCGTTACATAAGGCTGCAATATCTTCTTTCCTACGTTTTAAAGACTCTTTTTGGTGTTCTGTCAAGCGATTGACATCAAATTTTAAATCTGTTTTAATAAAAACATAATCCTATAATTGAAAAAATTGAATGTTAAAATAATTACAGAAGAAATACATTTGCACGAAAATAGAAAAAGAGGGAAAATACAGAAAATATATATTTACCTGTGAATCAGTGTCAATCGAGGTTTTCTTTTGAATATTTTTTTCTATAGTTTTATCCGATTCATTAATTACTGTCTTTGGATTACTAAATTCTAAAAAGCTAACCATTTTTACTTGATTCTGTGATTTCTCAATTTTATCAGTTTTTATAATTTCAGGTTCATTTAATATCTTATTTTTCCTGATCTCTCTTTCTATTTCTTCCAATACTAATCTGCAACTATCACTTAATACACTTTTTAATTCAAAGAGAGATGTTGTTTGATTTTGTATATCATGATTTGTATGATTTAGTGCTTGAATAATTAGTTTTTTGTAAGACGATAAAAGATCATAATTAATTAATTTACCAAGTCCTTTAAAGATAATAATTATACTTTCCCATGTATTGACTACCTATATATATAAAACATTTCTTAGATTAATTATATTTTTATTACATATTTAGGTAAAATAAAAATATATATATACCTCTTTGTACTCTGATTGAAGAATAAGTTCAATTGCAGGTTTACAAATTTGTAAATATAGTATTACTTTTTCTGGATTATATCCATAGATAGTAATAATTACTGCTGTCAATGCTTTAAGAATATGTTCACTTTCTTTAGCTTTTTTGTTAGATAAAAAATAAGTAACAAGATCCATAATAAGATTTATAATAGATGGAATGATTGTATTCTCTGAAAATTAAATTGAAATTTGAATATTTGTCTCATATTAATTATACTTCATTATAATCACTTCTTTTTAAATTAAATTATTATGTACACACCCAGTACAAGTTTATAATTGATAGTACTTAGCAAGGTATCTAAACAATTCATAATAAGATAAGAAGTTTTTTCATTTCTTTTTAAACAAAGTTGCATAGTATTTGCAATATTTAAAAATATTTCATTAGATTTTTCAGGTGATATGCCTGGTTGCAATTTGAATTGTTTGTACAAACATTTCCAAACCGTTGTTAATTCTTGAATCTGTTTCTGGTCCTCCAAATACATATATCTAAATGGAAAGACTATAATGGATTCAACAGTTTTTAAGTACTGTTCTGTAGTATTTGCTTTACTCAGCCCTTGCATATCAGTCATATATTTTTCTAACACATCTGCTAAAATAAGCCACAATTCAAAAATAATAAATCTGAAAATAATAAAATAATAGAACTTTATAATTAATATTAATTACTATTTTATATTGTTCGTAACTTACTCAGTTTTATCTTTTGCATTTGACAGCACATATAATTTCTCATGCATTTCTTTCAAACAGTCAAATGCATGTGAGTAATATATATTTTTCTTTTGAGACTTAATACATTGACAGAAGAAACATTTTAATGCATTATAGTGTTTCCTTAAAAAACACAAATTTTAATACATCTTTATATAGAAATAATAAATATCATATTAATATTAATATATTAATGTATTAATACTCACTTTTCAGCATTATTTAAAATTGAAATTTGTAGAAGTCTAAATACTATTTTTGATAATGTGTCATCTTGAAAATTAAAATTTGCACTCAAATCAACAATTTCAAATAAGATTGTATCAAGAATTAAATCTTTAATCATTGGCTTATTTTCAGCATGATTTGTTAATTCTATAACAACCTGTATCATATCTTTATACATATTCTCCTGTAAAATATTATTTAATAAAAAATGTATGTCATATTATCATATAACATATCGTGTTATTATATATTACATGTTTTTTTTATATTATATTATTTTATATTATAAACATGTTTTTTAAATAATTATACATTAATACAATACCAACCTTTACAGCTATTTTTGATTCTTGTATGTAAGCTATTAAGCTTGTCCATAATATTTTACCAAGTTGATATCTGTTTTTCATTTCTGCATCTGTAAGTTGACTAAGAATAAGCAAAGCTTCTCCTACGCTATGAATTATACTTTTGTAACACTCTTGAAAGATAGCATCAGATATAGGATGTGGAAGTCTTTCTTCCAAAATCTGAGTAGTATGATTCTCTTGTTTTTTGACAAGAAGTTGACATAAAACATCCATAGAAACAATTTTTGTTTTAAAAAATCTTTTCCCTGGTGAGGCAACTACATCAAACTTTGACGATAATAATGGTGTATCTCCAAGAGGTCCAAAACAAAAATTTAAGAATTGTGTAATTACAGGATTAACAAATTTAGAGATGTCTTTATAAAGCTTAATTATCACGTGCCACCAGACTTCTAATTTTGTCAATGCTATTAATTCAGTTTTACTGTTTTTAGCATTCAGTGGAATACATAATAACTTTATTCGTCTGGGAGTAGCAAGTTCTAGTGGATCTAAAGCAAAATTGTCTACCAATAATTTCCATGAAAGGAATGCTTGCCTAGAACATAAAATATCACATTATTTCTAATTTTAATTGAATAACATAATCTTATATATCATCATTATATATACCTGCGTGTAACTGTATCTGTAGATTTAAATGCTTTTTCTTCAACACTTAATAAATTATTTATTAAACCAGCACCACGATGAAGGTCTACACCAAGAAACTGAATACTAACATTCCATTGTGTAGCCCAATCTAATTCACATGCAGATACTAAAAGTAACATACGTTTGCAGTATGTAGACTGTAATGTTGCTACATATTGATTCCATGTAGATGTTAGTTTAGTACGAACATGTGATATCATATTTGTTGCTAAAGCTTGTTGTAAAAGTTTTAAAGCAGGACCACGTTGTCGTTTATGACCCATATAAGCTAATAACATTACTTTATCCATCAATAGCACATTAAACTGTAAAAACAATCAATTTAGTATTATTACATTTTTGTGATGTTATAAATTTTATTATTTATATACCCTGTTAATTTTAATATCTGATGTTATTGCAGCCACTTTGTATAATCTCCTTAATAGAGTTATACAATAATTAATTGTTTCTTCTTCTAATCTTTGGTACTCTGATAGTGATTTATTCTCAGCATCTATCAATGCTTGTAGATTATCTATACATGCATTTGGTGCTGTCCACGGCATTATATCTGTTTGTATTGTAGACATACAATTATTTAAAAAATTTACAATATATGGGTCATAAGCAAATACTGATACAGCATTGTCTTCAACTATATCTAATAATTTGAGAATTTTTAATCTGAAATGAAAACATTATGAAGATATTGTTACTACAACATTATTACTATGAAGTTATTAAATTTAAATATCTTGCATGAACGAACCTATTTTTTTTATTTATTTTTGACATAGTCTCAAATAAATTCAAAGTATGATTTTTAAATTCCTGAATAATTATATTTAATGTTTCATATGCCTCATTCTGTATGTCATTATTTCCATTTACAAATGCATCTACAATTAGTCCACATAAATCCTTGTATTGCTCTTCTTTAATAATTTTTGTGGATTCTAATTTTTTGCTGTTACTAAAATAATATAATATATAATTATACATATAATATATAATATATAATTATATACATATAATATATAATTAATATAAATATATATAATTTAAAAAAATATAAGTATATAATAAAATCTATCTATAACAGAATAAAATATTTTTTATGTAACAAAGTTACTAATATGATTACAATTAATTAAAATACATCAATTTGTAGATAAAAATATCAATGTACTACCTGCGAATATAGGTTAAAGCTTCGCGTTTCTCCTTAATATTACTATTTTCCCTCAGCAATTTCAGCATACGCGAGAAAGATTGCATATCAGAAGCCATTCTACAAATTTTTGTTTCTCAAAGAGTTACAATAGTAGAACTTCGTTCATCTCATCACAAATGAATGTCTACAAAGAACTTTCGCAAAAATTACGATAGGGTTTTCGCACTTTTACTAATGTATCACATGAACATTAAGATTGGGATTGCTTACTGATTTCTTTTAAGAATCGTATTTTTATAGACATTCAATATCTTTATAGATTATCCCCTACAAACAATCGAGAAAAACAGGTTGTAATAAGCAATTATTAAGCATTAGTATGTATGAATACATGTATTGGCACACACCTTCTATATCAGCTTTTTCTTCAGCTATTTCTTTATTTACTTTTTCCTTCTTCCTACCTTCTTTTTCCTCTCTTTTATTTATGTTATGGAATTACAATGCACTCAATCAAGATGAATTTGTTTTTAAAAGTGATATACAACTGGACATGTAATCATACAACAACTTAACGTTTCACATTCCCGACGAGTTTGCAAAGTGCTCGTACACTTTAGATACCGTTTTCAATAAATTTTCGCTACTTTCGTTCAAGGAATTATGTTAATTATCAAAGTAAAAATATTCTTTATTTTTCTCATGTACTTAAATTAGAGAGGCACCTGGTCAACTATATAACATTATTTGAAAAATACGTTTCAGTAAAAATCGTCTATCCGCCAAAATATGTGTACCACGTGGTACTTGAATACTACATTGAAGTTGATTTGACTGTGGAGCAGTAATATATTTACACTATGTACATAGGTAAAAAGGTACAAGGGTGAAATTATATTTAAAAACATTTAAATTTTCCATATTTATAAACAAAATATTATTCGAATTCATTTAAATGTGAATTTTAACAGGCTGCATTAAATTATTTGTATTTATAATTTTTATATTTGCTTGAATTAAAAAACTTTGTACTTTCTTCATATGACACTTCAATACTTCTTTATGTATTTATATGTATAAAAAAAATATCAATAAAAAATATTTTGAAAATTAAATTTGAGTTTTTACTTAGAAATAAAATATTTAAAATAAATTTAAGTATTTCAAGTATAATTTTTATTGATAACAATAAACAATTAATTTAAAAACTTTTATCAATCTGCAGATATAAATTAGATAAATACATACTAATTTATTTATAAATTACTGAATTACTCATCTATGGAAAAATATATAAAATATATATTTGGAAAAATATAAATTCCATATTGGGAGTTTCATTTTTATATAATTCATTGATATAAACAAATACTTTATTTATTTGAAATCTAGGAATACATAAATTTACTTCTGTATAGTTAAATTAAATATAGTTAAATAATAAAATATAGTCGTGTAAATATTATATATAATTCTTTTCTGTTTAAAATTATGAAAAATTTAATTATAAAAAATATTACAAATTTTATTTATAAAATAGTGAATCTATCTGTATTACAATAATTTATTATATGATCAACTTAAGAACACAACCATAGTTGTACACTATTGTATCTATCTTGTGATAGAGTATCACAAAGTCTTTGTCCTGTACTGATAGCAGCTATAGGTAAATTTTTGTGTAAACTTATGCCATTTATACAATCATGAGACAGATTTATTTCATGTGTTACATTAAGATCTTCACAATTTGTACTTTCTGGTAATTCCCAAATTATTATGTCTCCATTTGTACCACCTAAAAGATTTAAAATAATAGAAAATAATAGATCTTTACAATAATGTAACTTTCTAGCATTAACATACCAGAGACTATTTCCTTTCCATTATGCATAATGTCAAATTGAATTCTCTGATTTGTATCAGATTGACGTCCTTCAAGTGAATAAAGTACAGTACCTGGATTACGAAGATCCCAACATAAAAATTCATTATTACGTCTAACTGCTGAAAATAATTTAGTTCCACAAGGGCTAAATTCAATTTGAGTCACACCACTTTCTGTTTTAAAAGTACATAATGGTCCATCTTTATATAAACCTAGTTTAAAAGAGTTTTGTTGATATTTATGGTGCTAATTCACCAATATTATTATTATTTACTTATTCACTTGCCAATGTTTTTAGAATATGTTCCAAAGCCAACTAATCCTGACATAATTGGATTTTCTCGTATACAAGAAACTAATCCTGTTACATTTGGAAAATCTCTCTTAAATAAAATAGTATCTGTTTGTCGACCTGGATGTTCCATATCAAACATTCTTAAAGCATTTTTGAATCCAGCCCATACTTTCTTAGCAGAATCAACAAATCGAATACTAATTGCAGCTTCTACTTCATCAACTCTGGGAATAGAATAGAATATAAAATCTAGTCAAAATCAAATAAAAACATAGTTTAATGTTATTGGGAAATATTTGTGATATTAACTGATTGTAAGCTCGATATGTTGCTCTTAATTCACCATTAAAAGCATCCCATAAATGTATAGGGCTTTCTCTACTTGTACTTAAAAAGCAAGAAGTTGCAGGTTCCCACGAGCTCATATAAGGATACCAACAAGTGTCATATATAAGTCCTCCTTCTTTTACTGTTAATGCTGCTGAAAATTTTGTGGATGACAATTCTGAAGGAATTTTTTCAGAATATAATTCTTTAGGGAGTTCATAGAGTCGAATTCTAAAATCTTCAGATGGTACTAATAAACAAGTTCCATCAGGAGACCATTGACAACCCTTTGTAAAGTTTTCACATAAATTTGTTGGTTCATATTCTGCAGTTGCTTCACATAATAATCTTGGAGAACTATTCCAATTGTAATGAAACCAATTTGTTGGATGTGTTACTTCAGTATCCTTTATAGCTTCATTTTCCTTAGTGTCTAGCAAGTTTTCATCATTTTGTATTTTTGATATTTTCTCTGCAATATTTTCTTCTGATTTTTCTGCTACAATGTCATCTACTTGGGATACTTTTGTATTTATTATTTCTTCTAAAATTGTTGGTTTTTCATATACTAATGTTTCATCTGACTAAAATATACAATACATAAGTATTTTATATAAATTCATTAAAAAATATATTAATTTAAAATTTTTTAAGACTTACCACATTTGTAACAGCTTCCAGATTTGTTTTTATATTTTCACAACATTCCATACTTAATAATAAATGAAAATATTAATTCATTGTTGCAATATTATTTGATTCATTGTTGTAATATTATTTGATTTGTGAATTGTTCAAATAGTTTTTAATCAATATCATAATATCATAATCATAAACAACTTAATGCTATTATTGTTTTTATATGTGCTACGGCATAAAACAACATTATTTCAATATATTAAGTTCTAATGTCATTAATATAAATTAATATGTTATAATTATTTCATAAAACTTAAATTAATCACTTTATATGTAAGATAAAAACTAATTTAGCTAAATTAAAGACATAAACATTGGCACGTAGAGAATTTTATTTTTACATAACTATAAATTACCAGAAAAAAATTTAAGTGTCAATTCTCAACGATCAATTGTGAAACTAGTGTAATAAAATTTAAACACATAAATAATTTGTGATAAATAATATAAAGCATACAGATTAATATACGTTCAAGTTTACCACTTTATAGTACAAATAAGTTTACTTATATTTTATGACTAACAATAAGTATTACTCTATTATAGGTACTGAAAAATTTGAAATAGTTTTTTAGTAGTATTTGTGTGGCTGCCATGTGAATCATAAAACGGACGTTATTAAGAAAACAATTATTTAAAACAGTTCTTTCCAAAGTTAATACCTCTTTCTGCACATCTTTGAATTTATAAAATTTGGATAAAATGTATTTAGGAAAAACGCATTTTGAACCTTTGAACCAAGGACAATTAATTCTAATTCTATTTGAAGAAATTCTACGGAACCATACCTACATTTTCTTTTGTGTCCCCGGTGAAAATTCTTCTTACAATACGAGCAGGTATATTCAATTACAGAAAGAGAATAATTGTTAGAATGGAATTTTTCAAATCTTCTGATAGTAAACACAAAAGATTTAAGGTTTAAGTCATGAAACTTACTTTGCCTGATACATAGGCACTGTAAACCGTTTATCTGAATGCAGAATAAATTTATCTAGAAAGTAATAGTATGTATGTATTCAATGTATTTGATATAATTTACGTTGCAATTTTTTTTTAAAAATGCAATATACATATTAATTTAGAATTATAGATAACGTTTATTATCTATTAATAGAATTCTGAAAACGTTTTCTCGACAAGAATTGCTATTCTTTGCATTCAGGTACGAAAGAGATCTTAGGACCTTCGTCCTAAGCCAATATATCTAAGCAAAATTTAGACACAATAATCTAGCAGACATTTACAGCTGGCGAATGCTTTCGTGAAAATTCTAAGTGGAATTGTTAGCATTCTTTAATAACATATACTTCGTGCACGATAACATTTTCTTTTTCTTTTTATTTATCTGCTAAATTTTTTATTCTGCTTTATTTATTTATTTATTTAAAAAGAATTTATTTATTTATTTAATTTATAAAAAAGTAAGAACAACATATCTATATTCTTGAAAATAATAATACGTACATACTATTTTAAAATTTCGAAATTTCTTTATAAATATGTTGTTAAAACTGATACTACTATCTTAAAGGATCTTGATGATTCAGAGTTCATACTGTTTATGAATCTTTGTGAAATTCTCCTTATACTTGTCTCCATCACTTACCGAATTACAATCCACACTGCCCTTTTCTTTTTATATTGTTAAGCTGACAGTAAGTAACTAATGATTTAACAGATCATTAAGAAATATAGTTTCTGTCACAGCAATATATATTTTACAATAGCTTTCTTACACGTAATAATTTTTATATTTCACATTCTTAAAGTATTTTATCCAATTAAATTACATTTTAATTTTTTTTTTTTTTTTAGATAATAATAAACATAATATGTGAATTGGTATTTATAATTTAACATTTCGTATTTCCATATTTTTCATGCTACAATTTATCTACAATTTAAAATAAAATATTCGACCATTTATAATTTAATTCTTCATATAAAATGCTAAGCATTTCTTTTATTCTTTTTTTTTAAGGCAAAAACGTGACAGACATAGGTGGAATTTTAATTTCCTTTATCGTGATCCGTCAAGTATAATTTATAATTTGATGCGCAAAACCATTACCATTAAATTGAATAATTGATAAATGAACGAATTTACGGCTTACAATGCAAGAAAAGGTGTAATAAGATATTTACGTAAATGGAAACCGTGAATTTTAACATGAAGGATGCCATTCACGCGCTTGAATGGCGCACGCGCATTTCATAATTGCGTATAGGAAACACACAGAGAGAATGGGGAGGAAAATCGAGAAGAGTAGCTAGAACGTCGATGAACGAACCTCCCCCGCACGGTGGTCTCTTTTGGCGCGTGGGTGCTTCCAAGGTCATCGCAAGAGCGAAACTGCTACAGCTCCTTCGTCGCGACGCCCGCGCATAAAGCGTGGGTGGAGAACATGTACGCGTGTACTTAGCTACCGCTACACACCGTTTCAATTCACCGAAACTGGTCCATTCACGAAAGCTTCTGACTTTTCTTTTCTCGAAAATTCATGACGCATCAAGCATCACAGTTTG